GTAGTAGCTTCATTCAAGTTCAAGCACAGAAGGAAGGAAGAAAAATTCTCCCACAGGTTGTTCAATTTGGGGCAGTGGTGAAGAATGGCAGGGGTAGACAGGACCGTGTCACACAGCAGCCATCCATGAGCCCAATATCTCTGTGGAACAGAGAATGTGTGTAATATTGTGTGCTTATGTGTGTGTCTCTGTTTATATTTGATTTTGAAGCCTCTCCCTCCCCTTTCAGGAGGAAAGCCTAGAATTATTATTATCTTGCCCTTTAATTGTTCTTAAGCTGATGGGTTGAGGATAATTTTAATTACACTGTCTTTCAAAGTCCTCCATGATCTGGTTCATGTATACATGTCTACTTTCGTCTTCTAATCATCCCCCCTGAACTTCTAAACTGTTATCTTCTAAACAACTAAAATATCGAACTATTTACAGGCTCCTAACCATGTTATCCCCTCTCAGGACTCCCATCCTGTGCACTGCTCCTATTTCTAGTAGGGTGCCTTGTTCCCTCTTGTTCGTAGGGCATCTCTTCTATGGAACCACATCTTTTCTCAGGCTGCATCAGATTTGCACTCTGTACCCCAAATCCCCATGCTTTCATTCAATAGGTGGCTAATTTAGAATAGTATTTATCATACTGCATTGTGTCAATTTTTGTACCTATCTATCTCCCTTATTTGATGGTGAGCCCCTTCAGGTCAAGATCCCAATCTTATTCTGAGGTAAAAATAGTATCTTACTCAGAGCTTGATCATATAGCCTAGTGCCCCGGACGTGCTCATATTTGTAGAAAGGAAGGAAGATGCTGTGAAATAGTTATGCAGGTAGCACAAGAAGAGATCATAGATCCAACTCATGTCCATTTGATTCCAATCTTCATTTGCTTAAACCCTTCTATGCTGCCCCTTGCAAAGGAGGGGGCTCAAATCAAGGGCCGAATCCTTCAGAGGCACTGTGAGCACAACTGCGAGGAAGAGACGAACTTAACCTTAACATCACACCAGTGGACGGGGAGAGACAGAGAAGACCACAACTTACACCACTGACAGATGCAGTTTGAAACAAAAGGAGAATAATGAAAAAGAATATGATATAAATATATATTTGAAAACAGTGCCATTCATGGTGTCATGGAGCGCTTTCTAAACTAAGTGGAATGGCGTCTCCTCTCTTCTTCAATAGGTGGTCCCAGAGCAGGTGGTGTATTCTCTTGGTAGAGATGTGGTCTGTAAGACGATTATATTCATTTAACTAAATTTCTCACTCCTCTGCCTAGTGTTTCATGATTGGTCTATGAATATAGGATTTGGGATTTGTTTAAATATAATCTTCATGAGGGCAGTGAATTTTGCCTGTCTGCCCCCCCCTCCACCTCCTGCCTTCTTTGAATCAAATATAGCACAACAGGGATACTTTTTGAATATTATTTCTATTAAATAGAATGGGTCATATGTTGAACACTAAATTCTGTGGTTGTCTATGGTGAACACTATGCTTTATACCCTGTCATTGACAGTTCCTATTTAATCAGGCCCTAGCCATGGTGATCCCATCTACAACAGAACAAAGCACTGCTAGGTCCTACATCATTTTCATGATCGTCGGTATGTTGCGTCCATTGTGGTAGCTGCTGTGTAGTTTGAATCTTCCCCACCTAGGAAACTCATCTTCAACTATTCTATTGGACACTATTTGTTGTGATCTACACTCTATTATAATACTAATTGTGATGCATTGACTAATTTTTGAAAGTAGTCTGCCTGAGGGGTCTCGGGGAGGAGACGAACCAGTTAGGGTGCAATGTAGCAATGATGAAAAATACAACTTTCCTCTAGTTCCTAAATGCTTCCTCCCCCCTCCCACTATCATGATCCCAATTCTACCTTGAAAGTCTGGCTAGACCAGAGGATGTACATTGGTACAGATAGGAACTGGAATCACAGGGAATCCAGGGTGGATGATCCCTTCAGGACCAGTGGTGTGAGTGGCGATATACTGGGAGGGTAGAGGGAGAGTGGGTTGGAAAGGGGGAACCAATTACAAGGATCTACATGTGACCTCCTCCCTGGGGGATGGACAACAGAAAAGTGGAGGGAGACATCAGACAGGGAAAGATATGATAAAATAATAATTTATAAATTATCAAGGGCTCATGAGGGAGGGGGGAGCAGGGAGGGAGGGGTAAAATGAGGAGCTGATGCCAGGGGCTTAAGTGGAGAGCAAATATTTTGAGAATGATGAGGGCAATGAATGTACAAATGTGCTTTACACAATTGATGTATTGTGATAAGAGTTGTATGAGCCCCTAATAAAATGATTTATATATATATATATACATACACACACACATTAATATGCCGGATATAATCTATGGATTGTAACAAGAGTTGTAAGAGCCCCCAATAAAATGATAAAAAAAATAGTCTGCCTATCTAGTTTGTCTTATTCTGGATGTCCTGCTGACCCCTATCCACACTGAGTGACCCTCTGAGATGCTAATAGCACAGCTTCCACCATCAAACATGATAACAACCTGAAACATTTGTTCTAGATTTCCAATCTTAACTCGGTATTATTTCATGGGTCCCTAGCTTCACAGATTACATAACCACCAGTGCTTTCAAATACATGAACCCTTGTAATATTCTTTATGCCAATGTCATGTTAGACTCTTGTCACACCAGATGTGCCAGGAAAATATTTGTTTCATCGACAAATAGGGCAGCAACCACCCACTTATCTGAGTAAATGCAGTATGTGCCAAGCTTGGCTTTGTTTTTCCTTGCTTCCAGCCAGCAAAGAAGCATCAGAGAGGAGATTCCTTTATGGCCAGGATTCTGGCTTTTTGAATTCAAACACCGAGTCTGCCGCACTAGTTAGACTTTGAATTAATCCGAGATCTTGGGTAATTTATATTAACTACTCTGTTACCTAATGCTTTCTCTTTCAGCAGGACTTTTAGCTTAGCTCCACTCCAGAGCTCAGTCTTCCTTTTGGACAGGGGCACAATTTCAGTGCTTGCCATTGGTGTCATTGTCTTTAGCTACATCTATGCTTTAGCTTTTGTAGTAAATCTGGCCCTGTTTTACCATTTCCACAGACAGCACCCGAATCTAAGTCACCACCATCTCTCGTCTGCTGGGTGCTTTAATAGCCCTATAACTCCTTATAACTAACCTAGCCACTTCTACCCTAGTGAAGCTAGAATCTATTTTCCAGGCCGGGGCCAGAATGAACTCAAAATATTAGTTGGATCATGCCACTACCCTGCTTAAAATCTTCAACTGGCTTCTCACATCTTTGAGAGTGAAAACCAAAGTTTAATTATTGTCTGTCCATCGTCTATGTCCTATTAGCTTTCTGAATTCATCACCCATCTCTCTCTCCCTCTCTCACTTCGCTCCAACCCCATTGGACTTTTACTAGGCTGAAGGCCCACTGGCTGGTCCCACTTTAGACATTCTGGACTTGTTTTTTCCCCAGCCTAGCGCAGCAGTCAGCCATGTAGTTGTAGGGGCTGTTCCTCGGCTCACTCTGCTATTTGCTTAAATGTTATCTCCTCTAAGAGGGTTTCTTTAACTAGCCTGTCTCTATGAACCCACCACTGCTCTTTAGTTCTTTATCCTCATTTGTCATCACGTTATTGTTGTTGAGTGACCCTTGATTTTTAGAGAGCCCACTTGCAGTGACCAACTGCCCTGTGTGCTTTTCTAGGCTGCGAACTTTACAGGACCAGACCACTAGTACTTTGTCATTACTCCTGTGGAGCTACTGGGTGGGTTTATACTGCCAACCTGTCCATTTGCACAGAAACACTTAACCGCTGCGCAGACAGGGCTCCTTTATTGTACTCTCTGCTGATACTAAGTGCTGTTGAGTCTGTCCTGACCCATAGCCACCCTATGCCCAACAGAACAAAACACTGCCTGGACTCCCCCCGCCCCAATTGTTGTTCTGATTCAGCCTTTTGTTGTAGACACTGTGCCGGTCCATCTGTTTGAGGTTCTTCTCTTTTTTGGCTGATCCTCCACATTTATCTTCACGGTATTTGTTATTATCTGGCCATTTATGATGCAGTTTATTTATTTCGGGCTGCTTCGTATCACAGGTGGTAACCTCCCTGAAGGCAGGGACACCCTTGTTTGCCCCTTTAATCTGCAGTGCTTTGAGAGTTCCTGACCCTGAGGAGATGTCCAGTAATTGGATATTGAAGGAGTAAATACACTGTCGTTGCAGCAGCACCCCCCCCTCCCCATTTTAGAGTGGGGAAAGGAGATGCTCAGCGAGATAAATTTCCTCACAGTCACACATCACAGAGGCAGAGGCGAGTTCTTGATCACTGCACTGCATCGTAGCCTTAACCAACTAGCCGCCTTGGGGTTGATTCTGACTCATGGTGACCCCATGAGTGTCCCAAGGACTGTGCCTCACTGGGTTTTCAAGGGCTCATTTTGGAAGCACCCCCGCCCCCCCGGATTTTCTCCCCAGGAGCCTCTGATGGACACAAACTGCATTTTTGGTTAGCAGCCAACCATGTTATTAACTCTCTTAAAACATAACCCAAACCCGAATTACTTCTCTTTAATAATTGTTACACTTTGTCAAATGATACTTAGTGAGCCAGAATGGGAGGCTGACAGCATATGCTGTTTTGTCCACGGCTGGCTTCACAGCTAGTGAATGCAGTGGCACATGAATATCAGTAGCAATAATAGTAATTAATGACGATGATGATGCCCATTTATGTTTAGCCAGTGAGTCAACAATTGTACTGTGTTTGGGCATTTTCTTTGGCTCAGGGTTTCTGTTCTAATTTTTCAGAGCAGAACAATGATTTAACATCACCAGGAGATGTGCGTGCACGCGCACGCGCGTGCGCGCGCACACACACACACACACACACACACACACACACACACACACACCGTCGTCAGAACTCTCAGTTCTTTCCAGCTGGTCTCTTTTCTCAGTCTCTGTATTAAATACACATGCTCTTCACTTACCTTCCAGAATACCGAGCTCCACCTGTTAGGCGATCTCTGGATTTGGAAATCGTCCTCATACTCCCAGATTGAGGTGGTACAATCTTCATAAAACTGGTGCAGGTAGGATCGGACGCCGTAGTGCGGGTACCCACCCTCAGCTGTTGAGTGTGCCTGCTTGGACGCGCAGATGTTGCTGCATGAACTCATCCTTCCAAGCTGGAATGACAATGTCCACACGGGTCAGTGTGACGAGCTCTGTCCTCAGGATCAAAGGGCATATTCAAGGTCAGAACTGGGTCTCCTATGGCAAGTCCATTTGAGCAACGCTCTTTCCTGATAAGAAAAGACACTTTCAAATGCAAAATGATTCCTAAGGACTCACCAGGTAATCCTGGCATTCTAGAAATGAAATGAAATTCAGAAAGCATAACAGCCCAAGAAAACACTAGCTAATTGTCACTGAGTTGAGTCTGTTCTGAGTCATGTGTGCCATGTAGATCTACTCCTTAGGGATCTCAAGATTAACCTGGTAAAGCAGATTGCCAGATTGCTCAGGTGCCTTGGAATGGGGTTGAACCTCCAACCTTTCAGTTAGTAGTCTCATGTTTAACTCTTTGCACCACCCAGAACAGTACAAAGAGCCTACTTTATTTGAATTATGCAGAAATTTGAAGCATGAGCCACGTGATAGATAGCAGCAAGGATGTAAAGAGCATCCATATCCCTTTGACAAGAAAGCTTTCATCTCTTAAGATCTGGTGGCCTCTGCATATCCAAACCAGACCCACTGCCACCGAGTCAATCCTGACTCACAATAACCCGATAGGACAGGGTAGAACCGATCCTGTTGGTTTCCAAGACTGTAACTCTCTACAGGAGTAGAACATTCCATCTTTCTCCCGAGGAGCAGCTGGTGGTTTTGAACTGCTGACTTTGCATTAGCAACCCAGTGCATAACCACTACACCCACCGAGGCTCCTCACTCATCTTGACTCATCAGTTAGGCATAAAGATAGGAGAGGCTCCCTCATTGGCTGCAGATAAAATTGGCATTGGGCTGCCTTCTCAAATTCTTAACCATGATCCCTCATGCAAATCCACATGGTGTCATTCTTACCAGTCTGAACGATTTCTTTGTGGCCTTATGCATCCTTTTCTAACATTTAAACGAATTCTCAAGTTGTACAGATGCTTTATTAAGAGGCTGTTGAGCAGCTTACAATTTATGGTTTATTAATCCCAAATGACTTAACCAATAACATACTTTACTGATTCTGACAAACTATATTTCGGTCACTATTTGAAAGTACACCTGTCCAGGTGGTATGTTAGGTTGTACTATGGAGTACAGAGCCAGCTTTAATATTCCCTATGAAAAGTAACACTATAAATAAGAATTATGAGAATTGTTAAATAAAACTACCTTGTAGAGAGTCTTGATATAATCTTGAGATTCTATCTTTTCAAGATGGAAAATTTAACCCATTCAAATAATACCCTTGTTGCTGTGAATTGCCAGGAAATCAATCCCAACTCATGGTGACCTCATGGAACGTAAAGTCTCCAAGTCCATTCAGAAACAGACCACCAAGCTTGGCTCCGGTTGGGTTCAACTACAACACTTTGGGCTAGAAGGTAAAGGCTTAACTATTTGCAATACCTAGGGTACCCAATTCCTTTACACAGGCCCATCTATAGGATTTTTATTATTAATAGTAAAAGTGGAGTTACTGAGGAGCAATAATTGATGAATAGGGAAATGTTCAGCTCCTCTTTCTGTTTGGTTATCTAATCACCAGGTAAGCAGATACATGTTGTTGTTGTATTGCATTACTGAGTTGATTATGACTCGTGGTGAGAATAGAACTCTGTTACATAGGGTTTTCTTGGCTATAAATTTTATGGAAGTAGTTTGCGAGGTTTGTCTTCTGAAGTGCCTCTGGGTGGGTTCAAACCACCAACCTATTGTCACCACCCGGGGATACATGGAGCTGGAGATGCTTGATTGGATTTTCCCATTTTTGTCCCAGCTTATTTTCTTTGTGTGGACATAAGCAGTCTCCATGTGGAAAATTGAGGAACAATGTAGAAGATTATTTTCCAGTGGAACTAGGTTCTCGCAGGACGTATGCTACAATCCAGCTCTTATTGAAGGTTTATTAAGTGTTTCCAATTAGTTAGCAAGAAACCAACTAATGACGTTTTCTATGAGAGGAAAAAAAACCCACCAATTTGCAGTTCAATCAAGTGCTCATGTGTGGCTGCCTACTTTGGTTGGCTTAACAATAGGGCTGAAATTAAAGTTGAAGCCAGGGATAGGTAGCATTAACAGGTGTCACTGTTACAAAGTAACCCCCTGGGTCATCTTAAAAATGCATTCTTTTAGCTTGATATGGGTTTGATTAGAAACCCATTTCAAGAAACCCATATAATTAAATTCAGGAAAAGATGGCCCTCCTCTTAGAAACACTATGCAAATTAGCATTATTTAGGAGCGCTAGCAGCTTCATCCTTTTAACAGGTGGAAAATATTACATTTAGTGTCTACCTCCTGTGTCTTCTTCCAGTTCCAGGTGTCCATTGCTGTCAAGTCTATTCTGATTCATATCAAGCCCATGGGGTTGGGTAGAACTGCCCCAAACCTTCCAATGCTGTAAGCTTAAGGGGAGCAATCTGCCACAGCTTTTTTTCACCGAGTGACTGGTGGGTTTGAACTGCTGACCTTCTGGACAGCAGCAGAATGCTTTTACTCCTGTGCCACCAGAACTCCTTGTTTCAGGTACAGTCACCTCATCGGAGATGGGAAGGTAGACAAGGCAAGAAATATTTCTTTCTATTTTTGTTTTTACCATTCCATAAGTACTCATATATATAATTTTATGGAAATGTCAACTTTTTAGAATGTACTTTGCCTGATTACAGCATCAAAGTCTGATAAATCAAAAGAATGTTGACCTAGTTTTCACATTTTAAGCACTAGGATGAGCACTTCAGTACCTTCTATTCTATGTCAATACAATGAGGATGAATAATAAGAGCTTATTACTAGAATTCTTTTAAAGACATTTCTTCTAAGACATAATACAATTTTGATCAAAGGGAGATGGGATTGGTGTTACTAATGCTGCTTGTCACTGAAGAAACTGAGGCATAAAAACCCATCTGCTAAAGGTTACGCCATGAGTCACGGAGTAGATGAAAAGATGATGGTTGCTTAATAAAATAAGCAGGACTGTGGACTGAATCATGTACTTGCATAGTCAGAACGAACTCACCTACACACATATTTTCAGGCTTTCTACATACCATCCGAGAATATAACACGAAAAAAATGTGCAAAAATAAAGTTAAGTTAGTTCCAAAACTCACCGCTGTGAGTCGGTTCTGACTCTTCGGGACCCTGTGTGACTGAGTAGAACTGCCCTTGTGAATTTCCAAGACTGTCACTCTTTAATGGAGTAAAAAGCATAGTGTTTCTCCTGCAAAGTGGCTGGTGGCTTTGAACTGCTGACCTTGAGGTTGATAAGCAACCCAACGCATAATCATTACACCACCAGAGATCCTCAGTTAGGTTAGTTATTTGGTACCAGATAGACCTACTGGTTACAAATAGTTTATTTTCTTACCAAGTTACTTCATCATCATGTATGTTGCCTAAATTAGTAGTCCTGGGGTCTTAGAGGCTTCATACATCTTCCGAAATATACTCAGACAATTAGTTGTTATTCAGCCTAGAGATGAATGATCATTTGGAAGAGCATGGATTTTACAATATGAAATGTTTAAATGGGGGTGGTTGGGCTTATACTATTTTAATAGCATGTTCCATATCATGTAGGAAAACCAGTAAATTTTTGTCCAATATAGAGGATATCAAAGTGTTTGGACTCTACTTAGCTAGTTGACATCTCAGGTATTGTAAAAGGGGTTGTATGGTCTTTTCAGGTACTCATTTAAAAGCTGGGAAATTATTAACTTTTGTAGGATCCTGGGGTTGAGACAGAAACAGAAGGTGAGGCAGAGACTCCATAGTTTGGCTTAGTATATGCTTACAGATCAAAGGTTCAAGAGAAGTCTCTTATGTGTTTGGGAGACATCCATTTATTTTTTTAAAAAATGGAGTGAAAAGATAGTGGAAGTTTTCCATAAACTTTTGGAAGCTCCTTCCTATTTCAGCAGCTGCAGTAGCAGCAGCAAATCTATGTGCTGGGTTCTAGAGGGGCTCCTATGTTTAGAGAAAGCTCCCATAGCCCAGGAAGTGCATGAAAAGGGGGAGCAGGTAAGAGCATTTTCTTCAGCATTGTATTTAATTAATTTCATTTTGGTGATCCCAAGCGTTGTAGAGTCAAACAGAGCTCCATAATCCGTAGGGATTTCCAGGCTCTGACTTTTGGAAGCAGATTGTCTGGCTTTCCTCCTAAGATGTCTCTGGTTGGGTTCAACTTTCCAAAATTGCGGTCAGTAGTTGAGCACTTAACGTCTGGTGCTACCCATGGGGTTGCCATGAATTGGAATCGATTAAATGTCAACTGCAGTTTGGTTGTATTGTGTTCATTTGTTTAATTTTAGTGTGTGAAAAGCATCCTAGTGAAGCCTGTTGTATTGGTGTCAGCATTTCCATCCTGGATGGAGCATGAGAAACGTTAAATCTGGTTTTCTGGTGATCTCTGAGCAGAGAGTTGTTGGTCTCCTCTCTGACTGATATCGTCAATGCTGGTAAGTGAGGACCCATGTTTTCCACCTTTTGTAATCCTCCTGTAATATCTATATCACCTGCATTCAACCAACGAACCAACCAAACAAATAAACAAGAGTGAAGCAATCATATCCAGTGACATCCGGTCAATTCCAACGCATAGGACGCTTCTAGGGCCAAGCAGAACGGCCCCAGAGGGTTGCCACAATTGTAAATCTCTATGGAAATAGACTTCCATATCTTTCTCTTGTGGAGAGGCTGGTGGATTTGAACCACTGACCTTTTCCTTAGCAGTCATTAGACCTTCTCCTGCACAGTTAGGCATTCAATGAATACTCAGTTCTTAGCAGCACAGCACATATGATTCGATCTCAGAGACTTGCAGAAGAGGAAAATCAGGTCTTAGATCCCCTTCTGAAAGTATCCTTTTTAGATAAGTTAGTGTTGGTGACTATTTGAGTTGTCATTCATTTTTCATTCCTCTCTTCATTCAATGTTCTTCAGGCATTAACTCTGTGATGCCAGAAAATGGTGTCAAGTAGATAAGCTGGGGTCAGACTGCGTTGAACAGGCCCTTGGGTTATGATGAGAGATACGCATGAAGCAATGCATGTAATAAATCAGGCACTATTTAAGAGATCTATGCAGGATAAAATAGTGAAAATTCTTGGAAGAATTTCCTTATTAGGCAACCATGCATATGTTATTTTGATTTCTATGTGCACAAACACACTGTCCTAGGATATCCGTTTGAGGAAAACAAGAATGTCAAACTAGTTTATGCTGTTAATTTTTTGTTTTCTTTAAAAATATTCACTACTGCGGAGACAGAACTAAGTCTTTATGCCTCATAAAGCCTTCAGCACCTCATGGGCGTTATATGATTTGCCTGGATTCCGTCCTTGAGAGAAGAGTAGCTGAAGACCGAAGCACAAGAACAGATGCTGGGGGTGTGAGTCAGTCGTGAGGCCAGACACAGGCCAGTTCTCTCAAGTCACTTAGCAATATTATTCAATTTTTCAGACTGCTTTTCTCTCACACAAAATGCTTCTACAATAATGAGAGTGAAGTTCCCATTAGAGCCCATTTCCACAAGGCTACCTCTGCAAAAGACAAGGTATAGGCACATAGATGATTTAGGCCATTAATCCAACCAAAAACCAAAGGTCAAGTCACTTAAAAGACTCAGGCAGACTCACAGTGGATACATGAAAGCCTGATAAGGTTGTTTTTTTAAAAAATCTTGAATTCTGGAATTATATAAGCATGACCTTCAAACTTAAAAATGTGTCTCTACCCATAGATCATCACAGAGATTTCTTCCTGGCATAACGACAGAGGCTTGACTCTATTCTGAGATTGTCTTATAATTACTTATAAAGTGGATAAGTAGCCACCTGTATGGGTTTTTTTTTTTTTAGAGGAAAGTAATGCTGCACAATTATCCAGCCCTTTATTAATTTCTTTACTCCTTCAAGTATATATTGTTAGTAAAGTTCACAAAGCATTTCTTTTTACTAAGGTGCCAAATGAAAATGGGGGGTGGGGACAAAGCAAGACAAAACAACTCATGTTCTCTTTTAATCTCTTTCTATATGCAGAACACAGGTACGTATGAATCCCAATGTGATCCTTGCTTTTGAAGTTGTCTTCTTCCTCTTATTATTGTTTACCACATTGACTTTTCTTTTTAATGGCACATTGTTCAATTCTAATTAAGGGGAAAAGAACTCTGAAGAATGTGTTCAGACCAAAATTCTGCATTTCAAAAAACATTGAAAAAAATTACAAAGAATCATTTTAATGCTGACAAAAAACTTGAGTAAAGAAAAAACTTGTTCAAGAGCAGAGACACTACTTTTTACCTGCCAGTAACTTATATTTAATATCTTTAAAAATGTTTCCATGCTAGCTTATTTATAAATGCAACAAAAATGAAAAGTGTTCATAAATTATAAGGCACCATACAAATGCTATTCTTATTTTGGCATAGCTATGTTCCATTTAGTTAGTAATACCTACCAGATGGATCCATTTGTGCTTTACAAAGTCTTAATGAAGAGATGCTTTGATTTCTAGATGCTTAGAATTGATTGATCTGGTGCCTGTTCCATTGTATTGTAAGATAAATGGCCCTCACAGCCATTGTATTTTCTACTTGTTAAAATGTTTACATATAATATAGACTTACTAAGGCTCTTTGGGTGTTTTAATCATCATGCTAGTTATTATTCTATAATGTCATGTCTTCTCTCTCCATAACAAATTTTTCTTTCTTGCATTAATCTTCTTCTTATCATGATCATTTTATTTGCATCTGCCTAAGAAAAGCAGGTGCCCATGTAAGATTTAATTAAAAAAAACCATTCCCAACTATAAAGCAATTGGTTTCCTATATTGCTGTAGTCATATGAAGTAAAGTAATAACTGGGCCATGTTTTCCAAGAGGTCACTAGGAGTTCTTTCTGATGAACAGACTCTTCCACATGAAAAGGAGCCTCAAATATTTGGTGACTAAGCCTAACTGAGGCTTGTCACACTGTATTAGGCCTTCTCCAGGGTCATTCATTATTTGAATCGTAGCAAAATATTCTTCAATACTTTCTTCCTAGCACTGAATTTTTGTGAGTTTTATGTGAGAAGATTTGGGGAAAGAAACAACTTTTAGTAGGATCCTATATGGGAGGTCTGAATAAGGAAAACAAGCTGATTATAGGTGTGCACATTTTCCTATTCTGTCTATGTCTCTATTTAGGTGTTTCTATGCCTCTTTCTGTCGAGCTTATCTTTTTAATCACCCTCTTTTTATCTGCTTGCTTTCCCCTTGTTCTCTGAAGATTGGGATTTCTCATATGCCCTTCATTGAAGGCCGCCCTTTCAGAACCTTGGAGAGCGTCCTTAGTTCAACGCGCTCTCCAAGGTACTGAAAACATTTCTGCTACAGAGCCAGGAACCAATTAAGCAAACACCAGCTGTTAAACTCCAGCTCTTCGATCTTTGAGGTCGCCCTTCTTGGTCTGACACCATCCCAACACCACTTTCTAATCCCACAAAGAAGCATCACGTATCAAATCACTCAAACACCTTCACACGTGGCAAAGGAGAGGGGAGGACAGGTGGGGGTTTCACTATGCACGGAGAATAAATTCGCGAACTTCAAATACGTGTATCTTGCTCTTGCCTAATATACAACTTTTGAAAATGTCTTTTAAGTTTTCAGCTGAACCACCCCTCCTCCCCCAAGTTCTTACATAACGCAAACCACAAACCGCCAAAACATAGAGTTGGCTATCTCTTGTTGGAATGTTTTTACGTATCTTTTTAATACGCCTGGCTTTTGTAGAGATTTGTGCACGTGTAATAAGCGTGAGGTGTGTGTATGTGTGTAAGAGATAGAGACAGATAATGGATATTTGTGCCTGCAGAGAGATGGGAAGAGAGATGGGGAGGGAGGAGAAGGGGAACTGGAGAAAGACCCATCAAGCATAGAAAGCCGCCACCCCTGAGCTCCCATGGCATTACCTGCCCCTCTGATCCCCTGACCCGTGGAGCAAGTGCAGCCAGCTAGCCGCAGATCTCTCGCTGGGG